TAGGTTTAGGTCACAGATAAAGACATCTGAGTCCTATGTCTGAATAGATATATAGTGATAGATGATGTATAATAAAATTGTACTAGCTAAAAACCAATATACTAATAAAGACTTGAGGGCATGACCTCATTTTAATAATAAAAAAAAAAAAAAAATTAAAAGTAATATTGAGGCACTTAAAGAAAGTATGATAAAAGATTTAAATGAAAATAAATTTGTTGATAAAAATACTAAGTGTAATTGAGGATGATTTGGATAATATAAACATGATAACTGATGATATGATAATAATAAAAAATTTATTAGAGCAAGCAAAAAAAACTTTTTGTTGAATTATATTTTTTTTTTTTTTATTAAAAAAAATTAAATGATGTATTATAATAATTATTTAATTATTAAAAAAATAAATATTAAATTTAAATTTAAAAAACTTAAAGTGAAATTTATATATAAGGATCTGGAAAATAAAAATAATTACAAATAAGAGCCCAAAGTAAAAATAATTACATATAAGGGCTCAAATTTAAAAACATTTAATGAACCAAATAACTCTGCATTATGATGATAGTAGTTTTTTAATTATTATTACTATATACATGTACTATTTTATATATTTTATATTATGTCCTTTTGCTTCTCTTAACCAAAATATAGTTTGACTTGATTAAGCATGATATTTATTAATACTGTAATATTCTTTCAGTTTTAAACTAGTAAGTTTATTCTGTACTAAAATTAGTTATAAATTATGAGTTTTATTTTGTAAAGGTTACTGTGTATTAATCAAAGATTTTTAGAATCACAAAAAACTCATTTGTGCTTATAAAAATCAGCTGAAGCTATAATGTTTACATATAAGACACTATAAGAATAAATGAAATACTGTTAAAAAGTAATACAATTAACTGTCAAAAGAAAATTGCATTTATATAATTATAAAAAAAACCTTTAGTTATAATAAATTTGGGTTCTTGGCTGTAATATTTTTTCAAAATTCAGGTTCTTATATGTAATTATTTTTACTTTGAGTCTTATTTGTAATTATTTTTATTTTCTAGATCCTTATATATAAATTAAATAATGTATTATAATTTTTTTTTTTATTAAATTTTTATTGGAAATACTTTCATAGCACTATAGTGCCATGGTACTATGTATACTAAATGTACTGTATTATACGAAAAAATATATACATATTATTTAATTAAGACCATAATACTGTACTGATAGTCTTTTTTACTGATATATTGGTGATCTGTGCATAATAGCCATCGCATAATAATCAGAGCAAATAAATAAGGGTTCGATTGTAAATGTGATCAATTTTTCTTTGTTTGAGAACAAACAAACATCAAATAAAACTTTATCGATTTATTTAAACTGTGCATGTGAAAGTGAAATAACAGACTATTTGTCTTGTTTGTATACAAATAAAGAATATTGATCAGTTTTATTTACTCATAATAATTACCTAATAAAGGTTACTTGTAAAGCATAAAAAATATTGACAAGAAAGGTTAGAAGACAGAAAAACAAAAAACCTAAATAGAGCATTGTGTTTGTATTGTTTAACCTTATAAACATATCAAGATGAGTTGTAGTAATAAAGTGATAGTCTTTAATATTATGGTTAATAATGACAAACTCAGTAATAGGCACAAATATAATAGTGGATATAAATATGGTTTTGAGTATGAATATGGTGTTGGGAACGAATACAGTATTGGGAACAAATATCGATATGATAGTAGTCACGAATATGGTATTAGTCATGAATATAGCATCAGGCACGAATATGATAGTGAGCACAAATATAGTAGTGAGCATGAATATAATATTGGAGGTGAATATGGTAGTGAGCACGAATATAGTATTGGGCACGAATATGGTAATGGGCACAAATATAGTAGTTTAAACGAACATGATAGTATGGATAAATATGATAATATGAACGAACATAATAGTATGAATGAACATGACAGTGGCAGTAGGGATAAACACGGCAATATAGATAAATACCATAATTATGAACCTGAAAAAAACATTACTAAAGATGCGAATAATGATTATGAAATACAAAAGGTTTTTAATAGTTGGGATGTTGCTATAGAAGAAATTGAGAAATATGCATGTCGTAAAGGTATGAATGTAATTATCTACTTAAATAATTCGATATAAAGCATAAAGTAACAATAACAAATTTTTTTTTGCATCTCTAATAAAGGATTTGGGACTAGGCGTCTTTATGTAGAAAAATTAGAAAATGGTGATGTTCAGCGACACACAATAGTGTGTGAACACTTTGGTTGTCCTGAACAAACGAAAAGTAAGAACCCACAAAATAAAACTACATCTAAATGTATAGGATGTACCTGGCAAATAAATATTTCTTGCCTAGAAAAAGAAAATCCATATAGGCTTATTTATGTCACAAAAATAGTTGACAAGCATAAAAATCATGAGCTTAACCTACCATACCGTACCTTTCAAGAGTCTTTTAAATTTAGTGAAAAAATGCTTAAGAACATCGAATTTTATGTGAAAAAGATGAATTGCAGTCTCCAACAGATCTGTAAGGCTTTAGAAGAAAGTTATCCAGAGTATACAATTTACATGCCTGTGCTATGATGAGAAATACAATGCTTCCGTGTGATCAAACTAATGATGCAGCTAGCTTGTATGAAGAATTGTTAAAAAAGAAAGAAAAAAATTCATGTTGGTATGTGGCAGTGGACTGGAATCCTAATACTAAGTGTTTTTGCCAGTTATTTTATATGTCACCTGAGCAGATTGAACTCTGGTTAAAATTTAATGATGTTGTTCTTAATGATTGCACAGCAGCAACAAACTGTTATAAAATGGCACTATCAATTTTTTTAATTGTTAACAATTATTTACACTCACGTATGGTGGTGCAAGCACTCATAGATGATGAAACGATGGAATCTCATAGCTGGATTTTTCAGAATATAAAGAATACCACATGTAATGCTGTTCTATATACAATTTTTATTGATGTGGATCCAGCTGTTTCTGCGGCAATTCGTGATGAGTTTCCTACAACAAAATCTCTTTATTGTATGTTTCATATCTCTCAAAATCTATTTTCAAATCTTAAAAGCTGCCTTGGAAATCAATATAATGAATTTATTCAGGATTTCTACGAAATGCAAAAATCACTATTTGAGGTTATGTTTGAGTATAAATGGACACAGTTGGTTAACAAATATAATAATAATAAGATCGTTAGTTATTTACAATGTGCTCTTTATTCAAGCAAAGAAACTTGAGCAAAAGCTTTTGTCTTAACTTAATTTACAGCTGGGATGTCCTCAACTTCTCAAGTAGAAAGCTACAATGCAAAAATAAAGCTCTTAATTTTTAATACAAATACAACACCTTTGAGGCTTGCAGATGTGTTGTCAACATGTATACGTGAAGAAGACATAAAAACAGAATATTCTCTTTTTTGTGTCTCAGTCCTCAGAGTCACTTTATTTTCAACTGCAGAAACTATACTACCAAACATTTGTCAATTATTAAAAAAGTATTTAACAGAAGAGGCATGAAAAATTTAAGAAGATTAAATAATTCAAGCTCTTTATTATCATGCGAGCTGTGTTAGTAAAAATGAATTGAATGTTTATAAATCAGTAAGTAATATATGATATTATAAAATTCACGAAATAACAGACATGGATGTTATTATGCTTATTTACAATTAATTAAATAAAAATGGCTAATATTTTGTTATATGCATAGGTTAATCTTAATGATTCTAACCTGTTCAATAATGAAAACCTTATTACTATTATTGCAAAGGCTTCTCTTGACCTTGTTGATACTAGTAATATTGTAGAAATGTAGTCCATGCAACATATTACAGAATAAAATACATGGCACTTTGTTATTCTTTTGAATAATAGGCTTCATTTGTGCACATGCTTTGGTCACTGTAACCATGGATTTCTTTGCCAACATTTTTTCCAAGTTATGTTGTGTATGGATATGGCAGCATTTCATATTCAAATAATACATTCTCGCTGGTATAAAGAGACACATAGTGATCAGTCATGTGAATCTTTTATAGTCACCCCAAAATTTAAGAAAGATATTAATTCAAGTAATCAGTTCAGTATGAATATAAGTTATTTTAATATGCTAAATAAAGATCATTCGGATATGGTACAAGATATCAAAGAAGGATTTATTGAAGAGTGTCAGTTATATGGTAAAATGTGGGGAAAGGCATGAGCAGCTATACTTTTGGCAATTAAAAATCGTGACAACAAACTTATTGAAATTTTAGATGAATATTTAAAAGAGCAACAAGTAGAAA